AAGATGGCCTAGTTTTCAATCTCTTGGTCAGTTTTTCTGACCCAGGCGTACGCAGCAGTATTGCAGCCCGAGTGGTCTGGTGTTAAAAATCTTGAACTTCGGACGCATAGGTCCCTTCGCATAATACTAAAATATTCATTCGAAATTCAGCGTGGTAGGCCGACCGTGGGATGCTGCTAAGAAGGCCGAAATTCGAAGCGAATATCAACTAACTACGATGGCTTAGAAGGCAGTAGGGGGGAGGATGTGCTTGCGAATCGGCCGTCACCCGAATGCTTTTCGTCCTCCTCCTCCAAGCTAATAAATAATGACTAAACTTACGCAAATCAACCTACGATGGAAATTAATGTGTTATGAGGGCAGGTAAGGAGCACGAAGATAACTGTTTACTGCTAAGTAGCCACCAGGCACACCCTAGAGCGAAAAGGATGCAGGCCGACGAAGCGGACGCAGGGAAATTGGCAAAAATAACGGCATGAGGGAGGCAAACAACTGTAGTAGATTTTGAAGGAAAAAAACGAACATGTTATGCGCATAAGATGTTAAGATATCGATCGAATGAGGTAGGATTAGGGTTATACCTCCTTTGCTATCCATGATGGACAGTATATGGAAAACGCAGAGACCTGAGACATAAACTCATTACTAAAGCATCCCAAAATCTCTCAGGAACCTAGCTGGTTCTCACACAGGATCGGCAGAAATGACAAATGGCCATTACGCAGTTACAATTCTCAGTTTCCATCGAATACAAGGGACCAACAGGAAGAGGCCCCAGCATAAGACAGAAACACGCAGAAGAAAAAGCGTTAGCATCTACCATATTCATGCATGTCCTTGCTGCTCAGCCGGGGATCGCGTTCGACACGATAACAACGACAACAACTAAACTAGCGTACGCATTACGTCAAGAAACAGTCAGCCTGAAGTAACTTCACCAACATGTGTTCAGCTCGAATGTCGCATCGAAACCAGATCTTTCTGAATCTTCATCTCCTTCTACGCTTCGCCTAAGCCATAGCTCGAGCCAATAACGTCACCGCGATCCAAAACACCCCCGTCTCGGTGACTGCAAGACCCAGGTTCACACGCTGTGTACAAACTGCTGACACGTCTCTAACGCCAACGCCAACGACCAGTGGATGGGGCGCCTTGTCTGGCTGTAGTGAAACCTGCTTTCAGGCAAACTGCCCACAAAGAGCACTTACGTTGTGTTTCTCCTACACTACAGCTGCATCGATAGGTGTTGGGTGTTCTTGTCTGCGTGACAGCAACAAAGCCAACTGCGCTCTTCCCGTGGTTGACGTAGATGATGGCACCAGAACTGAGTCCTTCAAGCACCTTGTACGACAACGAAAAGCCCACTATTAACGTATTCCGCTGGAACCAAACACCGGTCAGATGCAGACGCTCCTCGACAGTTTCGGGAGGGGGGGAGCAAAAGTTGCCTACAAAGGGTCTATTTGACCTGACTATTAGTAACTGCAGATGGGCCCGTAATCTTTTACAACGCTATGACCAACCAGTGACTGTGCACTGCACTAACATTTTTGCATATCTCACATTCAAAACTTTAAATGATTGCATACAGTTCGTGTGCCAGCTTTTTTTGAAAGACAATAAAGCTGATTTTGGAAACGAGGAGATTATACCTTTGAATTAAAACGAATACTTTCTTGATTTAGTAATTAATTGAAACCTTCATATCCCAAAAAAGTCTTAGCTAAGATCTATACTTCAACCAAAATTAATGTTATACAGTGCAGAGGCCAACGGTATCTATTCTATTATATGGTTTAATTTGGAAGTGTACAGTGTTTGATGTAGCACCAAACTGAAGACCAGAGACAGATAGAAGACAACAAACAGTATAAGCGAGCATAAGAAAACTAAAAAACAATTAGCAAACGATCTTTGGAACGTGTTACACAATTAGTCAGCCCCTCTTTTTCCCTTCATTCCTAAGATTAAGTAACCTCCCACAAATCCTTATTTGGGATTGACTGCATAGGGTTCCTTGTAAGCGAGTAAGTGAGCGCCCTGTACAGTTCTATTTCAGCATTTTAACGACAGTTTGTCCCGCTGAATTTGGATTTCATTCGAAATGTAACGCTACTGCAACCTACACTGCCTAACTTACGGAAAAATGCGAACAGATGAATTGCTTGGAAATCCAGGTTTTATCAGGTTTCTAAATGCTAACCTCGAAATGATTGTACGTCGAAATATCATCGGTTCCCGCCGTCGTTAAGTGGCCTACGTGCAGTGTTTTTTCGTGCTTTATGGGTGCAAACGTTCGGATTCCCTCTTCCCGACAACTTGACGACAAGCCAAGACAGACAAACGACATACCTGACATGTTAATTAATGCGATACGCTGCGTTTGGATAACTTTCATTAGCAGTTGTTTCAATATAACAAATTCAATTCTCAAGGGGTTGAGAACAAATTACCTGGATAAGACAAAGATAACGCAGTTTCCACTTTTTGAAGATTGTTCTGCCATGAACCCAACAATAACCGCAATACTTCAAGTTTGAGGGTCGCTCCTGGCGAATAGCAATTTGAAGTTCCAGGACGTCCGCACAATGCTTTGTGGGCACAAGTTTGTACCATGAAGGACAGCGTGATGTGGATGGATTTGGCAGAAGAACGACCTGTGAGGGAGACCAGTCAAATGTCAGTTCTTACGAGGCATTCTGATATAAAAATACAACTACTTTCAAAAGGTATGATCCTTCTATAAGATCTAAATACACAGAAGAGCAGAATGATGGCCATGTCGGGCCTCACTTGGGTGAAAGTGGGAAAATCTAAGTAGCATAAAAGCCATAATCGCGAGAGGAATCAAGACTAACTTTAGGAAGCAGAGAGGATCCACAGACAATCTCCATGCGTATCTGTTCATCTGATCGCCGCAGCTAGGCGAGTTATACTGTTTTAGAAACTGCGTCCAGAGATATTTCGTTTTTGTCGGGAAAAATTGAAGGAAGAACTTTTCCAAGGTCTTTTTGTATCTTCTGTACGTGTTCACGCCGTGACAAAAGAGGGGAAGTCCTTGCGGCTTGCAACGCCACCCAGGATAGCCGTTAGCAGTTATTTTGCAAACTACTGCCATTAAATGAAATTTATAATGGGAGCCGAGGTACCTTGCTGCCGCTCAACATACCATACCAGTAAGCACTTTGTCATATTTGCCTTATCACCCTTTAATTTAACCATTGAGATGCCAATGAACTACCTCTCCAACAAAATGTACCTCCTCTAGAAAACCACATAACTCGTATCACTGACAGGAATGACTGGGGACGCATTTTTGGGGTCCCATGCAAATTTTCGTAAATGAACTCGTAAAGAAATCCATATTAAGGCAAAGTTTAGCCGAAATGGCTCGCATCTAGTAGAAACTACTTAGCACATTTTTCTCCTTGAAATGATTCTCTGGCGGATTGGTAAGGGCAGAAGGCTACGAAGGCGAGATGAGTGGAAGTCTAATAAGTTGCTTACTGACGAAGAGCTAGGCGGTATATTGGTGAGTGATATTTTAGACTCCGGCAGGACAAAAAGTGACTTTTCTTAAAAAAAAGCCACGCCAAAAATAGGCTGCCTATGTGAATTAACGAAAGGTAAACTTTGAGCCAGGACATTTATACGTGCAGAACGCAGTACAGCGCAATAGCACATGTAAATTTTCAGGACCTACTGGCGTGCTATTAAATTTTTGAAGATGTTAACCAGACTCCACAAGAGAATTTCAATCAAGCTCTCATTGAGAACGAGGATCCGGTTTGAAAGACAACTGTATCGTGCGTAGCAACCTAGAGCAAACGAAGCTACTTCCCAAAGAACAGCATTTAAATGAAACAAAAAACTAAGTTGCCGACAGGTAATAGAGACAAGAAACAAAGAAAACCGTCCTCAGAACATTAAACCCCTAATTTAAGTCCTAAACGCGCATTTAATCCGATAAGAGTCCATTTAAGTTCAAAATTCTAGGTTACACTGTGTACAAAAACGTGTAGTCCAGCATGACAAACACGATGGGGAAAAGCATCTTGATGTCGAAACATGCAGAGAAGGCGAAACATGCCATCATGTGGTTAGAATGTGGTTGCCTATGTTCAAATAAAGGCAGTAAGCCCTGGACGGAATGGTCACAAAGTATCAGTTGATCATCTCCTACACCCAGTGGTATGTGGTCTAGAGATGCATGAAGAGCTGAAGTGCAGAGATTGGGAACGCGGTTTTGATTTAACCCCAAGATCCCAAGACAAGGACACTTCCAGCGGCGACTCTGAACCAATGCTATGGTGCCCATGGAAGACGTAATGTTCGGATTAACGTGAGCGCGTCAAGTGTAAACTGTTCAAACTACAGTTGTTAGAAGATAAAGTAAACTTGACATTGATAACAAAATGTGAGGATTGTTCGAGCCTCGGCAACTCGGAGCCTAACAATGTCGGGATTTGCACAGTATATTTTGTCGCTCCAAGATACGCAAATGGCACCTACAGATGCTCCCAGCAGTACCACAGAAGGCACATGACAACTTGATTCAACAGAGTGATGAACTTGTTCCGAGTGGTCAGGCCAAAGCTTCACTGATCAGGTGGAACCCATGAGACAGGTAGGATTGAATGTGTTCATCCTCGGGGCATGTAGGCAGGGTGCACGGTTTTCTCGGTTAGGGGTACAACGGGTCAGAATGACAAGTGGTTCCATGGACTGGTACACACACAGTAGTTTATTTGCTCCGTTCTTAACTTAAAAAACCAGCTCGCGTCCGTTTCTCAACAAGTCTTTGCATTATTCAGTTGCCATATTCTGGCAACCGCTCCGACCGTTGCGCCAGACTTGATAGGGACATTCCCTGTGTGTGTATTTGCGTAAAATAGCGGAGGCACATCCAATCGCGTGTATCCATACCTACCGTCCATGAACTTCTCTTCGCCCACGATTGCGCTCTCAACGCCACCTCAGAAGGAGGCATGCAGAGGAGCATGGATCTCTTCATCGCCGCCTGCGACAACTTCGGCCTGATCATCAACACGGAGAAAATGATTGTTATGCACCAACCGCCACCCAACGCTGCCTACAATGCCCCTCACGTCAGCGTCAACGGAGCCCAACTGCAAGACGTGGACAACTTCACCTATCTAGGCGGTTCCTTCTCTCGCAGCACCAGAATCGACGATGAAGTGGTCCGCCGTACCCCCATGGCCAGCAAAGCCGCCAACAATAGTCACGGTCTCCACCGCAGCATCAAAATGAAGACGTACAAAGCGGGCATTCTGCCGACGCTGCTGTATGGAGAGGAGACCTGGACGGTGTACAAGAAGCAGGCGCGAAGACTCAACCACTTCCATCTCGGCTGTCTCCGGCGGATATTAAAGCTAAGGTGGGAAGACCGAATGCCAGACACGGACATTCTGGAACGGACGAGAACTCTCAGTATCTATTCCATGCTGAGACAACTGCAACGGCGCTGGAGCGGCCATCTGGTGCCCATGGACGACGGCCGGTTACCAAAACGGCTATTCTATGGAGATGTCGCCACAGGTTCCTGCCGGAAGGGAGGTCAGATCCGGGACTACAAGGATACCCTGAAGACTTCCCTGGGGCGCCTGAAAATCAATCCGGCCAACAGAGAAGACCTTACCAGAGACCGGCAAGCCTGGGGGAGAGCAGTGTACGCTGGCGCAGCAATCTTCGAAGCTATCCACATCACCACTGCCAAAGTCAAACGCGATACTCGCAAATCTCAACTGCTCCCCCCCTCCTCGCAACGCCAGTACTCAGCCGACCTCGACCTGCCCACGATGCCGGCGGACGTTCCGGGCATCAATCGGTCTCATTGGACATCTTCTTACCAACTGCGGCACCCGGACGACACCACTCGATTTCCCCCGGTCCACCTTAGCCTCTCCTCCCACGCCCACAATCAGCACTGACCGCACTCCTGAACCTGCACTGCCATCCTCCTCCGTCACCTCAAAATCCGCTGCGGCGGCTCTTGTATCCACCACCGCTGCACGCAATCTTAACACGCAGACAAACATCATCCTCACGCCGCCAATACCAGCGATGTGACTTGGTCCATACATGTCCTCACTGCGATCGCACCTTCACCTCCTATATCGGCCTGTTCTGTCACTTGCGAAACCATCACACAGAGACTGGCGAACCAGTGCTTGGAGCACCAACATACGCCAGGCGCATTCGCTTCCACTGTCCTCACTGCACCCGCACATTCAGCCACCGCATGGGCCTTTTAGGGTACATACATATCCATGAGAGCGGAATTCACTGCAGCCTCAAAACACCTAGCACATCCTGCACACTCATCATGCCTAGCCCAACCCACACCTCGCCGCCCCCGCGCCTACCACCAGTAGCTCGACTGCCGCCAGCATCACTGAAACCGGTCCTGGCACCACCGATCTACCCGCCCAAACTGTCCCCATACACCCACCTCATGCATCGGCCTAGTCAGTCGCTTGCGACTCCGTCAAACAGAGACTGACGAACCAGTGCCCAGAGCACCAACATTCAACCGACACATTCGTCTCAACTGCCCTCACTGCAGCCGCACATCCCCCACCGCATGGGCCTATCATGCCACATGCGCATTCACGAAAACCCGCGGTAGACAACCGCCGGCTACAGCACACCATCATATCTTTCCCCGCCAACGCTTGCATCACACAACACCAAGGCCCATCACAAGCATCCAATGCAAATGAAAAGTGCGCGTCTCAGTTCTGTCGCAATGCGGCTTCTCCGCTGCCTGCGTGATCCGAGTCTGAGACTATCACGGTGCGCCGTGCGCCGCGGCCGACTGACATTCCAACTCAGTCCACGCAGTCTGCCCAGTTGTGTGCGTTTGTGTGGAGTGGCAGACTGATTAACGGAGAACCAGGCTGTCGTGGCTCCTTCCTTAGTGTTCTGTGACACTCTCACGGATGAGAGGAGTTTGTGTACGGTCCATTTGTGCCTCTCGGTCTGTGGTTGTTTGGCTACCCGGCCTTGAAGAGTAACGGCCGAGGCACATGCAGGACCACGTGTCACCCTTCTAGGCCTAAAGGTCTGAAAGTGTCTGCTATGCCAGGATCAGCAAACCATGACGCTCGCAGCCTGGTATGCGCTGGGTGCTCTATGACACCTGTCGGTAGCTGTGCCTGCGCTCCCGCTGGCTATACAGGTCATAAGCATGGCTATCCAGCCACCCTTGACTCTGCAGCTGTCTTTGCTGTTGATGTTGGCGGTGTTGTTGTTGTTGAGGTAATTAGTTAAAATCCTGGTTATTTGCTGTGAGGACCAGGGGTGTGACGTGGGCCACCAAGCTGCGGGGTCGAACGTGCCATCCACCCGCGTCCTACTCTGGCTCCGGTCTTCTTGAATCTGTCTTGACACTGGGCCCAGGTGAGGGAGGAACGAGTGCGGTAGATGTGGCGCAAGTCTACTAGTACTATAAACTAAATCACGCGTAAGTCACCGTGCCTGCTTCACCCTGCCATGGAGCACACGGTGGACAGCGTCGGAAACGACGGTCGGACTGTCGCTTGTGGGCGTGTGAGTGCGTCCACTCCCTGCACCTGCCAACTCACCGGCTGGAAAAGTGACTGGGACCAGGGAATGGGAAAAGAGAGTGACGTCGGCGATTCAGCGTATTTTTCTCACTACAAACAATCTGACGCACTTGAAGTTATCACGGTACGCTAAAAGTTGTGGCTTGGATGGTTGTCCACTGACGCGATAAATTGGATCTCGCAGTCAGCGCAGTGTTCTGTGTTTGTGTGGAGTAGCCGGCTGGTGGTCTGAGAGTCAGGCTGTGATTGCTCCTTATCAATATGGCCCTTAGGACATTCCCACTACGTGGGTCCCGAGCCAGGTGTGGAGGCACACCTAAGGGCGGCTTCGGCCGCGCAACCTCTTGTGCTGTTGGTTAATATCCTGGTCATCTGCTGTGTGGACCAGGCAGCGTTGAGTGGAGCGCCAAGGTGCGCGCTCGACCGTGCCATCCACCTGCGCCCTCCCCCGCCTCTGATCTCCCTGACTGTGTCTTGATACGGGACCCAGGTGGGGGAGGAGAGGCTGCGGAAGATGCTCCTCAAGTCTGCATTCACCATAAACTAGATCACGCGTGAGTCACTGTGGCTGCTTCACTTTGCTGCAGGGGTACACGGTGGACATCGCCGGTAACGACGTCTGAACTGTCGTGTGTGTGTGTGTGAGTGCCTTCTCACCAGTCATTCCCCGCAATAACCCTATCCGACTACCCGCCCGCAGCAAAAGGCCCCAAGGGATGAGCGACGGCAATCCAGAGAGTGGCCCAGGCTACTTCGAGTTATCTTCCTACTAACACGAATTCGTGACGCATGATGGAGTTATGTAGCCGTCAGGACTGATTAATCGGCTTTGTTTAGACGATGCATTGCTTACGCACTTCAAGGGAGGGAGCCTGAAAGAGCGTCTGAGCAATTATTGGTATGTCACGCCGTCTGCACGCTGGCTGTTACTCGTAGACGTAGAATATGCAGTTAAAACAAAACACAAGACGGCAACCCCAATCATCCGCATTGCCGTGCCGCTCCCCAGACTGCCATAGTGACCCTGTTTACTCTGACAATCAGATCTGTTCGCCCTGTGTTGGTCAATGTGCAGTACAACCGACCGAAAGGAAGGCGCAGCTCTGGCCGCCCCGCAGCTAGCCTCTTACAAACTGGACATCGCGGATTACATTAAGACTCGCTGTTCCGAGCAGGGGACAAATTCGTCACTTAAGCCAACGTCTACGGCTCCTCCCCTCCTCGTAAGTATCACTTCCGACAATGTGAACAGCAAATTCGAAGGAGACAGGTATGCCCTTCTCCAGGTTGTTCTGAAAATGGACAAACTGGTTCTATTACGTGAATTCATTGCCCGCGCGGAGCAGAAGGTGGTGCTAGGTCGCCACAGAACTGGAAATCCAAGCAACAATGGCCTTTGCCTCCTGCATGCTTGCCTGGAACACCATTGTGTTCTGATCAACACCTTCTACCGTCTCCAGATTCAGGAAGACCACGTGGATGTGCCTCCATTTGCGTCACTAACAGCTGTTGGACTACGTCCTCGTTCGGAGGCCTGACCAGAACGATGTGCTATTTGTGGTGCCAACTGCTGCATGGACCACCGCCTTGTTATTTCCACGATAAGGCTTCGGATACTATCCTGCAGACGACCACGCGGCAGCGCAACGATCGAACTACCGATACGCAGATGATGTTGGCATTGTTACAGTGTACAGTCCAACGCTGAACTATGCGAACATCCAGAGGGATGATTTCTGTGTCTTCCAACATGCTAGGTGCTGGTCGCTGCGGGTGTTTGACGTAAAAGGATGGGAAGTGCGGTATTATGAGTCGCAATTGCCCACAGCCAGCTATTGCATACTTTTTTTCACGATAAGTTTTAAAACCTGTAGAGGAAATAACACTTTCTTCCTGAAATGGAACCTTTTAGGAACGCGTTAAATAAGACGACTTACTCGACCGAGTTCCTTGTCATCTAGAGAGAGGGGACCATTACTCTCCTTCATTAACTTAATTTTAAGGCAGGGAAGAGGATGGGAAGTCTCGAATTCCGCGATCGTGTCCCAGCTGAAAGTCAAACAGGTTTTTTTCTGAGGGAATGGTTAATATGTACTCATAGGTGGATACTTACTACCATCAGACGGCTACGGAAAAACATTCACATGATATTCAGGAATACAGAAGAAAGCATTACTACAAGAATATCCAGAGGCTGTTTCGAAAGTATTGCGCCAAGAGCGACAGCAACCTCCGGTCTACGCACATCTTGATTTAATGGGCGACTAAGTGCAAGTTAAACAAGAAGTGTACACAACTTCATCTAGTTGTTGTGCATGTCTATAAACGAATAATAATACATAAGATATCACCTACACGTAGTAAATCGCATTATGCGAAGTATGTTAATTGGATCATCATGAAGGGTCGCTACTTTGAAAAGTCATACACAAGGTAAGAGTTGCCGAATTCCCTAGAGCCTTGGTCTGTCAAACGTTTATCATAGAAATAATTAAGCATTTTGCCGCTGCGCAAGGGATTAGCTTGAGTAAAACTTAAGGGGGAGGTAGAAAACGTGCGCACAAAATTGAAACATGCGTGTTATGCGTCCATTTTCGGCCTGTTTGCTTTAATAATGCATGACATATAAAAACTGTTGGCACTTTAGAAACGAACGAAGTGGAAAACGTTTTTACGACTGCAAAGTCAACGCAAATTCTAACATTCATCATGAGATCTACAGAAACAAAAGGATTAGCTGCGTTCGACCCAAGGGGCTTGAGCCCGATTAAAAGGAACGATGCTCCACAACAGTAGCCTATACTGCGCAGAGATCTGTGACTATGTCAAAAGTGGCCACTGAACAAAACATAACAGGTAAAGCCTTCTTCACAGGAGTGCGAGGTGGCATTTAGTAATACTGCGTTAAGAAGAGAATCAGGTACGGCAGGTCTTGTTGGGATGCCATTATGGGACATCTACCAGCGTATGGTGAAAAAACGGCTATTACCCACATGAACGAACTCTGCTAAGTTGGTTAAAGCTAAAGTTAAGATTCTGAGCTAAAGGAAATAAACACACATGTGACAATCGCAAGATTTATCAACTGGCAGTTCACTCAGTGACTTATTTGTCGATTTCAATTTTAGTTCAATCGTAGCACGATAACCTATTGTGTTTGTATTGCTTCAATCAAAGGGGAAACAAGAGTTAGACGCAATTTCGATTTATTAACAAAGTGGGATTGGCGAAAGCAAATTTAATGTGCTGGGAAACTAAATCAGGAGATAATTTTAGAAGGAAAAACATCAAAGTACAGGCGCCGACCAAGTATGCCTAGGCAGCGTGTGCCGTTAGGATAAAGTTTGAGTAAAGCACAAGGTCGGAGTTAGCAGTTAGAGCAGACGCCAAGAATAGTGAATTGCAATCCAAAAAATCAGAGATATGTCCCAAGAATTTTGTTTGAAAAAAGTACAGACTCATGGAGTTTTAAACGGAAGGAGAGTAGTTTAACAAAATAAGCGCTGTTTTCGAGAAGGGAAAGCGCACATTTTTCTGATTTCCGAAAATGCATTGCTGGCAACAACAACATTCTACAAAGCTGGCAAAACACAATGAAGCAACAGCCGATACGGAAGCTCATGGCATCAATAAACCGGAACTACCGCCAGGTTAAACTGAGCCACTAGCTTCTACATCTTCGAGGAGTTCATGTGTCATATAGGTGATCTAAAAGAACCCCACAGAACGTGTTTATTCTTTCGATCTGCGCTTGAATTACGCACAGATGTATTCTTGTGGCTAGAGGTCTCGATGAATGCTTCCATGCCCCTTTTCGCAATTAATACGATAGAGGAGAGGGAATTTTCCTATCAAGGATGACCGGAATTAAGAGAAGCGAAGCAGCAACTCGGTATTTTAGGCGACAGGAATGCAATGGTGTGGTTACAAAAGAGAGCATGCATGTTAGATTCAACAATAGTAAGGCAGTAATTCACTTAGTAGCTTCAATACAAGTGCCAGATTTGCGAATTCAAACAATGTTGTCGTAGTATTAGTGTGGCTGGGGCGTCCGAGACGGACTTCTCTAGAAACAGGTGGCCCTGTGCGCAAGGAATAACGGCGGCTATTCGCAGTAGGCAGGGATTGACTCGGTTAGCTTTCAAAGAGCCGAGTAAACAGATTCGCACTTACATTGGTTTGCAGGCCTTAACTGAGGCTGTCCTCTGCCTTTCCGAAGAACCGTCTAGTTCAATGGTACAAAAGAGTTGTTTGTTCCCAGAAAGATGTCGCAACGGTCGAAGCTGGCAAATGGATACCTGTAAAATAATCAGTTTAAAGAACTAAGCACGTAATGGACGAATGAGAGAGTTCGGCTAATTCTAGTAGGGTGAGACTGACTTGTGCGGTCTCCTAAACAGGGCATGGGAAAGGAACGCACCTGTGCATAATTCCATTAAGGAAAAATTATGCCCGTGACCTAGCCCCAAAAATAAGCCTGATATAAAACTAAACCGTCGCCCTGATCTCGATCCTAACCCTAACTTAAACGTTAACGCTGCAGTAAACCTTAGCCCCTACTTTAACCCTAAACCTAACACTGACCTACCTTTCCGGTAACTTTAAATTTAGCCTTAAGCCTGGTCGCTAATCTAACCCTTCCTTAACCTTAAATCCAACTCTGATTTCATTGGAATTTTTTGAAGGCAGTTCTTGTTCTCGTGTCCTGTTTAGGAGGCCATATAAGTCAGTCCTATCTTTAATAATTGAATTCACATGCGTTCTCTTAATATCTTGTTTACTAGCGGTTTATCCGCCAAAATTGTTTTATTTTTTCCCGAATGACGAACAATTCTGTATTGACACCCGGGAATACTTTTCATAACACCTGTTCCGGTTTACATAAAACCGCTGAACTTATCAGCAGAATTTTCTGAAGCAGTCGTTCTGCTTCACTGACTTGACTCGGTAACCATAAACATCATTATGAATAAACGTAATCTCCTACATAAGATCTATATCAAAAATTTGTTCTGAATCTCAAATGGAGGCATTAACGCCAAATGCTCACTTCCAGGTGAAAGGACAGTTGAATAGACAATTTCGATACGCTTCCACTGTGATGGACGGAGATCTGCTGACCGCTGTCTAGCCCTGAATCGTCTGTCCAGCCACCCCCGATGAGCGAAGGTCGAGCCGCCATGGGGTTGAATGTCGCCGCCTGGCGCTGAGCATTCTTCACGGCTGTGCCAGCAACAGTCTTTGGGTCCTCCGGTGCGCCGTTGCGGTCAGGCTGCAGGGATGAGTTTCCAGCGTGTCCAGTTGTGCTACACTTCTTTTGCAGTCGGCGCTGCAATTGTACCACTACGCCTACTGCGGAGCTCGGACTGGTGTATGTGTGAGACTTTCCCACAGGCACCGAGTCCAGCTGCAGCATCAGCTGGTTCACGTGATTCAGCTGTTCTTCCACATACTGTACCTCCATCTCCTTGTGCACCATTTTTGGATATTGTCGGTTCTGGGTGAGTGCGGCGGGGGTGGTAGGATATGCATAAGAGTAAGGAAGATTATTCTTAGTTTAAAAATGAGGCACACAGTTTTGGTGGGAAGGATGCCCAAAACTGGACAGATAAGGCATCCACGAAATAATTTTTAAGTAAACAGTGACGTCAGAGTTCGTTGTTTCTCTGTCTAGTATAAACGACGTAAACGCATAAACCATCATTACGTTATTTTTGGACAGGCATGATTGGCTTCTTCCCTCTCTGTCGGGCGATATTCTCCTCCATTCCGCCAAGTCAATGTAGTTCAGAGAAGCGCATTAGTGTTAGGTAAGTTCGGTTGGGCAGGTGATAATCAGGCGTCATCTCCTTTCTCAACAGAACTTGTAACTGACAGGCTGTCACGCGTTGTCCCGGTGGTGGTAGCATTCGTACCTCACCGAGTTTGAAGTAGTACTTTACAAGTCGGAGAGATATCGACCAATGATTGGCGAAGTCTAGGTCCGGAAACTAGGCGAACAGACCGGATAGCTCGACTTACTCAGGGCCTCAGACAACAATCACAGAGAGCGTCAGAAATGAAGGCATGTCCTTTTCCTGTATATAAACCTGTGACTTCAGGTCTTTACATTGTGCAGTTTTGTTCTTAGTTCGTTGACGTATATGCAGGCACCGCGAATGCGACAGCAGTCCCGGTTTTCCCAGTAAGACGGGGCTTGCAGCACTCTTCTGATGGACGTGATCTCTAGGTCAAGCTCACCTATAGCGGAGTCAAAGATACTTTCGACACCGACTGAGAAACTGGGGTGACTCGACTGAGATATTTACCGCGGCACAACTGACGATCTGCTGATATGCGCTTTGAATCTTGTCCAATGAACAGCCTATGCACGATCATGCGTGAGTTGGGGGGGGGGGAAGGGGAGCGGAGGTAAAGCAAACACACTTTGCTCTTACTCAATGCTGTTTTTATAATTTTAATAATGCAACAGACATTATCACAGTAGCTAAACAAACAATAATCTGATGAGTAGATGATTAGATACTGTATGGCATTTAAGTGCTGGTGAAGGCCACAGGCACTTTTATACAGTAATGTTAATAAAAGGTTGCCATTGTGAGTGCGTGTACGTGGCGGGAAGTCAACACATCACGATGAAATGAAGGCCAGTAGGAAGTTCGAATATGAGTTAAAACTTTGTTTCATGTTTTTTAGATTAATCCAACAGGAATCCAGAATTCAGTCGAGCTACGCTCTTCGCCGCATAAACCTGGCACCAAAACACGCTTCGGGTCATTTTGATCATAAACAAAGGGAATCATGCTACAACAATGAAGTCTACCGTACGAAATGTTGCGAAAAATAGCATGGAAGTGAAATTGAATGGTTGGTCAGGTAGGAGTGCAAGATGCAGAGAAAGAAAAGAAGAGCGAGGAAGAGAGGAATACGTTGGGGGAATAAGAAGAAGAGAAAGAAGGGGAACAAAAGGAAGTTGGAGGAGAAGAAAAAGAATAACCTGCTCAAAAGCGTCCCTTCAGTGATCCGAACGACATTTTTGGTGAATGGAAAGGTTGAACTAGACTACATCTTTGAAACCAACTGACTCATTTGTTTTGGTGATCGATGCGAAAAGCTACCGATCTTTAACAACCAAATAGTCCGCTCCAACCAACAGACAGTCGTTTGCACCCGTCAGCTCGATCATTAATATTGCAGCCAAGATGAGGCTTCTTGGCTAGCCTAATAGTAGCATATTGATGTATACTACCAAAAGCGGTAACAAAGATGAATCCGAGTGTATTCTCGTTTACGTGGGGTTAAAAAGCCCATTACTTACCCACTCACAAGAAGGTAATTATGCAAAACGGTATTATTTTGCAAAATTTTAAAGCACTCGCATATGTGGTCTTGAATGCGGGAACGCAATACACCCTTTCGGTATAAAAGAAAGTCATGTGCAGCGGTCACTAGTTTCCATTTAATGCACAGTCGTGACGAAACTAGTATAATTGCCATATTTACCCAGCAAAATGGCCCTTTAGCAGAGCAAATTTGATCCCTCTACGACGAATACTTCCTAGAACTCCGTAAAATGACAGCAAATTCAGGTAGGCAACACCGTAAAACTTCTTGACCAAAGTGACGCTTTACACGGTGATCTCAGACGTGCATGGCACTCGAAAACAACCAGCCGGTTCGGTAAATCAACGGTAGGTTGCTTGCGATGCATAAATCCTCAATAGGCGAACGACGGGTCTACTGCTTACAACTTGACCAAAGTCGAAGTATAGTTAACTTTCGACACTTGTTTGGTCTGTACTTTTGTCAGTCTCTTTTACCTTAAAGGTGTTGCGTGAGCAAAGATAGGAAGACATTTGCAACAGCAACCGCTGTGTGTGTATCTTGAAGAAAACCAATAAAACAATATGTCAGAACTACCGTGGCATAAGTCCCACCGACAATGCCGCAAAGGCCTTTGATATCTTGACTCCCAGGCGATTCTAAGCTGCGTGGCGAGAGCACTCGAGAATGTGTTCATTACTGCAAAGTGCTTCAGAAGTCATAAATGCGAACAAAAATTCTCTCTCGCAGGCTATCGATGATTTAGATTTAGAAAGTCACAACTAAATGTTACCGGGGTAGGCTGGAAGGGCCGCAGAGTTCAGTTATCTGTGTAAGATCAACCGGTTTATCTACGCCAACACTGTGAAGACGACAACCGAATTGTACATTTTGCTTATATTGTGTGTTCGTCATATTTTACCGCATATTGTTAAATATTACAAAAAGAAAAGGTATATAATGAGCCACAATCTCGTACAGTTCCGAATATGATCACTGCAAAAACTATGAACTCTTGGGCTTGACTTCACCCCATTACAGTGGCACAGTAAATGACACAGGACATTTAGGCTGTTAACAAATGGACAATTTTCATGAACGGCCGGAAGTTTAGAAGAGTACCCGCATCGGACTAGACATGTGTTAATAGTTCATGTTACATTTGACATCCGGAGAGCGGCAATAGGTGTATGCCCACGTCCGGTTCAGCTTCTAAACACCGGATTTAATTTTGGGCTTTGCAATTTTGGAAATCACCCGACTGAGCGCTAGAAAGGGGGACAAGGGGCTAGTTTTTGCCGCCGAAGGAATGATACAAAATACATATTATCAATGCGTAACGATTGTGATTGTGGTCGACGTTCGCTGCTCTTTTGGACAAAGAGAAAATTTGTACGTTGAAAGAGGTTTTTCGGTGCAAAGTATGCCCGGAATAAGTTTGCTTTTAGGCACCGCTCGAAAAACGCCGAATTCTCCCAGATACATTTCATTTAAAAACTCTTCTCCGGCCGTTGGATAACTCGACGTACAGATAAAATGGCTCGGACAAAAGGTGTCCACCGTACGTATACGAATGATATCGATGTCCGGCCATTGCGGGTCCTAATCAGTTCTTATTAAAGATCGCATTAAATACACACACAGCCAATTCCTACATACGTGTTTAACATTCTATATTTCCTTTGTATGAAATAATAATTCCATCTTCGAGCTTTAAAAAACAAGTAAGCTAAAGACAACGACATGATCTCTCCAGGCGTTTCTCCATCTAGGAAATAAAAGATCGAAATATGGTTAAGTGCTGGCCAAATGAGCTTAAGGGTAAAATGTGTGAATTTAAAATAGACTCGCGTAGCTCTTAAAGGATGCTAAAATGCCTTACAAAAGCCAAAATTTTTGGACGCAGGCTACTGTTCCTTTTGAAAACACGTTTAAAAGTGGAAAAAAAGAAAGGAGACAGCGTTAAGGTAGCATGATGGTTTTCGGAGAAAAGAAGACGTACGATAGCCATTTCTTCGAGAAAACTCTTTTGACTAGCCAATTCCCGCCGTACTTGGGCCGCCTGTTCGTCGACACTGTCCAACTGATAAAATAAAATGAGTTTGGTAATAGTTTTGAATATTAGTTCGTCTTTTTTTCCAAAGAAAGCCGAAATTACTCTGTTTATGAATTTGAAGACATACCAAACCAATCCATGGGGAAAAGCATTTATTTCAGTCTGAATAGGTTTTACGGGAGCATAAAACCTTCTAAATTCGCCGCATTAAGCATCATTTGGATGGTCCACTTGGCGAAAACCGACTATATAAGGGTCCCATAACAAACATGAATTATGATCTTCGAAAATGCACCAAAGATTTGGAAAGCAAGTATGTGAAGTTCGCATTACTTCGAATCGAGAGAATTGGCTGCCAATGAAAAATACTAGGGTCGCGGGCCGTAGTCCACAACGAGAGACAAACGTCTTCAGCGTAATACGGAATATACTCAGATTTCGTTAATTTCTTAAATAAACCGTCCTTACACGTTGATTTTAATTTATAACTGCCAAATATGAGGACGATTTTAGGAAAAATGTTAACTCCCAACGTAACGACATCAGTCTGTTAAAGAATTACATAGGACCATATTTTACAACATCGTCTTTCATAAAAACGCTAATGAGTATGTATATAAGCATTCTATCGTTTATACGTTCCCAGGGAAGACAAGGAGGAGAGTGAGACGAGCTCACGCATCGAATTGTCATTTCGGAAACATACTCGAATCCATCATTAGAGCGGTTATTCTTTCTGGAAATAAGTTGCTCAATCTCGTTATCCGCCCTGGTGTTATAAGCTGTCAGACGCACGCAATTTGGCCTGCCTGGCCTCTTCGCAGCTGATCCCTGGCAGACCTGCGTGGCTTCGACCCCCTGCTGCGGCCAGCGCAGTTTCAAAATAATTAACATGTGCCCCGATTCAACACTTAATCCCAAGAGCATTCGCCAGCAGCTGCTGAGCATGTAAGTTGAGCTCGATACCTTGAGCGCGTCGGCATACAGGTGTTCCATGGTGGTCTCATGGTCTGACTGTTGCCTTGCCTCTTCAAGGCAGACACAGTCCTGGGGCCTAGTCGACTATGTTCGCTTTAGTTATTGATCCAGGTCAGACCGATTGGTGCTTTGCGAGTATCCTAGGCTGGACTGAGAGCAGTTAATATTCGCAGTTGTTTGCAAGCTGGATCTCATCCAATCTTGTGTCGAAGGAAGTTTCATTGCATTTATAGTATAGTATGTCGTGCACAACCACTGACCGTTCCGTTTTTGATAGTGACAATTAGGTCTGATTGTCTGCTGGCGGATGGAGAATTGACCTTTATAAAATACACCATTTCCGCAACGCTCCAGGACCCATGCTCGCGCCACCAGAACTTTCTTCACAAAGGGAGCGTGAAAAATAATTTCAGCCTCTCACCGCTCAGATCTGGGATAGATAGCGAAATTGGCACGACAATAAATGACACGTGTCATACATCAAGAATGAGAGCGAAGACCGGGTGGTGTTGCGTAACATGATTTGGCCATTAACGTCCATACGATATCGTTATAAGTCCAAATATTGTTTATAGGAAAAAATGTATATAAATATCCCTTTCTCGTACTTATTTGGCAGCCACTTTCGTCTTCTACAAAGTTCCCACTTGAAAAAAGACTGTTTTCGTTTTTAAGAAACTTCAATTGCCAAATAATTTCGAGCCCGACTCGCCGTTACACCTGCGCCCAGTGTATACAGACTACAAACTGAATATTTTTATATAAAGAATGTCATAAGTTTCAGTATGCCATTAACATGACGTCATATAGGACTCATAAAACGTTGCAGCGGATGTGAACCACGTTGTATCTTCCACAAGCAGCATTACTAAGTGGACAGATATGATGTTTTATGAATGGACATTTAACTGTTTGAAAAAGTTTCATGATTATACACTTTTGAAAACCGAAATGTTCCTTTCGTTCAAGTACAAAATTTGAAGATATGATTCTCCACCACCAACTGAGCACACGAAAGAATATTGTTGTGCATGCTTTCTATAAACTATATTTCGATCTGTAGGGGTGTCGAAAATCGATGGGAGAAGTTCATGCTACATAGTTAATCATTTCCCATGGAACGTCGTTTTTGCAGACGGCCGGAAAGAAGGTCGTTCAAACGCCAACATCCTGGCGCGACTAAAATATCTTGGGATTATTTTGAAGACAATTGGGCAAACATGCGTCTGCCTTCGACAAATTCTCTTCAAATCTGCAAATTTAGATTTCTATTGAAATAATGAATAAAAAATGAGGGCAAGCAGATAAGTATGCTGTGATTAGGTTTTGAAGATTTTGCTGGACCATATTTAAGATTACAACCGTACTTAAGTAATCTTTTCCTATCAAAAACATGTTTGGTATTTCGGTCAGCTTTTCATGAGATAGCACATCTGCTGTATGTATACGAGTTCAAAAGTCGAGATAGGTATGACCAGCTTACTTGGCAGGCATTGAAGAGGATCTGGTGTTCGTACTTCTTGATTGAAAGAATACGCATAAAGATCTCATAGAGTTGCTCCCTGGTTGGGTTGGTGAGCTCTAGTTGCTGGGACCCAAGTCTGTTGGCGATGGGGCAGGGACCTTCACCACCACGACAGATCTGGTCAAATTTTATCTTCCAGGCACTAATTACTGTCTGTTTAGGCAGTCCATCAATTTCGCTGAAACGCACCAGCTAGTAAAAAGCAAATAAGATACACGTAAAAGTTCAAAAGGGTTAAATCCTCCTAACTAAACAGATACGATATTCCGGATATAACAACGTAAAGCAATAATTTAAACTATATAAAGGACATAAGACTGGGAAGGAAACGCAAAACAATTTTCAAAGTAGAGTTTGAAATATACAGGATAGACGTTCAGAACAATATCCAAGTGCTAATGGCTAATTTTTTCTCTTCTGTTCCAACTATTTCTACATAGGTGATAAAGTAGAACATCTGTCTCGAAAGGGTTGACGTGTGGCAAAAGGCCAGCCTTCATTCACTAAAAATAAGCTTTGTTGATGCATGAAGAAATTCAAACACTCGACACTAAACGCGAAGAAAACAAACTTCGCATACATTCCAAATTTATAGTCACAGCCACCATCAGAGACAACGAAGATAGAAATTTCCATGACATGTGATATTTGAAAGACTGGGTCATTATGCAGCAGCATTCCCGGTGGTCGGCAGGCTGCGCTCGAATCGAGATTGCAGCCAGTTATCTCTGGGGGGCAGTCTAAACTATGCAAAAGATTAGCTAAGATCATTGGCTTTAGTGAATGACTCCGATAGGAGCACCATAACCCAGCCAACTCCTGACTCGTGGGGCGGCTGGCTCGTGCGAGATTTCCGGTGTCAGCTTTGGGCGCAATCCGCACAAATGCAGCTCCCCTGATAATATGGCTGCAGACAAAACCTCCAAGCCTAAGAAGGTGGATAAGGTCCGCATCCAGCAACTCGAATATGCTTGCTTCATTACCCGAATACAAGTTATTAAGTTGGATTGCTAGAAAAATTACTTCGCATCTGCCCACAAGTGCCAGAAAAAAGGCCCTGATAGGTCGTTCGTAAAGTGGACGCCCACCAACAACTAAACCCATATTTTAAGTAGGAGGATTTTCAATTTGGAAAACAGTAGTTCTCCTCGATAGGATATTTCAAAAGCATTCGTAGTGTGACAAAAACGCCCGTTCGCACTCATTTTGTGATTTAAATCCTAGTGTACAGTTAGTTCTTCCTGAAATTTCGGTAGTATTCTAGAACGTAGGAGGAAGGATGTGGCGGTCAAGGATGTGAGATCATGTTAAACAAGACCATATATGCAAGCAGAAGAGCGAGTCCAAAGTTCTTCTCAGAGTGCATCCGTTACTGCAATCGTTATCACAAGTTTTGATCTAACAAAGCCTATATCGGGATAAAATAGGTCCTTATTGGTTTCCATCAACAATTTAATTTCCTTACCCGTTGTTCAATGCTACTGATAAAGACTTCTCGTATGTCATGCATTGAGAAGGCCCCGGTCTTCACCATCCGTTCAACATTTTCGGATTTCAGGAAGATCTCATAAAAGTGCTCCACAGCGTTGTAAAATGCCTCGTCGCAAGTAATCTGCAAATCCTTATTCAAGAAGGCCTACAAGATAGAAAAAGCATCATGGGGTCATCAGTACCTGGGTGCGTGAACCAAGGGGATTAGGTAGATGAAGAACTATATGAGCGCTCCAGTTGTTTCCAATAATGTGCCTACATATGCTTATCTGGGCAGGATGAAACGGGAAGAGTTTATAACGCATAACAGAAGCAGATGCCTCGGCGTATTTGATGGTGAAGGAATGTCACAAAGCTGTCAATGTCCCATGATATTTGAGACAGCTAATATTTTACAATTGAATAGTCAATACATGTTGAATTGCATAGAAAGCGGAGAAGAAGTGCTCGAGTAAAACAGAAAACAGGCTGCGGGGGATTGAAGTAGGTCTTTTGACTGTCAATCCAAATACTCTACTTTGACCCCACCGTAAAACAACTAGGCGAACTCGGTGAGATTTGAACTTAGGACAGCAAGGGCGAGGCTTTAGTGAAGCCAACGCTTGGGTTTGAATCTCACCGAGGTCGTCGAGATTCAATTAGCTGGGTCAAAGTAAATTATTCGAAATCTGCCAAAACACCTTTTAGTTACGTGAGCCTGATAGTCACCTGGTGGATACTAGATGGATAAGTAAGGAAATACTGTTTGGGCAGTCAGCTCGCTGTATCAGATTTCGTTGGATTCCAGACGTTACAGTAGGCTGGGTAGGTTTCTTGACTCAAATTTGATTAAACTCCCGGCTCCTGTTAGGGCCTCGCAGCTCAGGTCGCTAGAGCATTGGCTGTACTAAAGCAATGCTCTTGCTGTCGGGGGTTTGAATCGCACCTAGGTCATTGAATTTATCAAATTTGTTTGATAAAAGGAATAACTTAAAATCTGCAGAAACATCAAGTAGTCTAAGCACTTGAGAGTCCGCCAACGGAGGTAAAGAAGGTTGCAGCAGTTAGGGGGTATATACAGTCCTCTTCATCGATAGTTATAGGCTATCCAAAGGTGCGATCCTAGGACTCGGGACGTCGTTCTGTAGATTACTAGGTCTGAGGGCAGAACTTCGTTATAAACTTTAATCTAAAACCGAGCTTTCTAGTCAATAACGCCTATATGTGTTTAGACTATGGTAGAGGGCGCACACTGGTCGCGTTACGGAATCTGCTAGTCACGTTGTCCTTTGGGGCTCGATCAAGAACCCCGCAGCCGCTTGCACTGCAATAGAGGGAGATTACCAACAAATACATGGGAGGCTGGAACGACCACTTGTGGCCTATTCACAGTCATCAGCCAGCCATACTCAGGCCCAGGCTTACAGCACCTGATGGTCGGCCAAGACCTCGTTTGATTATTAGTCTAACGCTCTTACTATTAAGCCACGGGCATGCTGTCCTATCGATTGTAATAGTCTGCGTGCAAAGTCTGCGGCCATTTCTCACATTTTATGCACGAGGAGACTAAGAGGTCATAGACCACGCGTTGTCTTAGAAGGTCATCGAAGGTCCGAAGGAATACCAATTTTTACATAGACGTAGGACGCTTGCAGCGGCACATGAAGCTCGCATAGAGTACAGTTACCAAGTATGTTTGACACATAAGGGAGATGTGTCAGACGTCGCGAGTAAATTTGGCGTTCAATTAAACTATCAACAAAATATGTCATCATGGAAATAGTAAATGGGCAAACTTACTGTAAAACGGTCTTTGAGAATATTGAAGTATTCCTTGGTTAGTCGTAAATAGCGTCGTACGGGATCCTGAGGAAGCCCCACCGTGAAGGGGTAGGCAATGCAGCGTAGAACAAAAACGTACCTAGGCAAATGGGGATAGAAAGCGCAGTAAAGTCCTGCCCACATTCGTCAAGACCAACTGCTTACTTTGTCCAGGAACAGGGATGGAAGCGATCAGTCAGAACCAACGTTTCTGATAAGCATTAGCACATTCAACTAATTTTTGGAGTTCAATAAGGCAAACAATGTTTGTGAAAATGAGATCGGAGTATTACTGCGAGTTTATCTGAAAGTAACACCTAAGAGGAAAGTAAAAATATGTGCGTTGATCATACGCATGCGTTCTCCAAAACTCTTTTACCATAGGGGCATGCTTGAAAACGTTTGCATACAATGGGTTTTGCACGTTTTTAAAAAATGTTTTTTTTGTACGGAAAGGAAGCAACGAAAGTCGACGCCAGCCTCACTTTTCATTAAGTGTTTTTTAAGGTAAGATAAGGGGCAAACTCGAAGGCAGGTGAGACAATGTAAACAAGGTTTAATTTACTTATGCCTCTTACTCATTTGACTCTTATCCCCCGTCTTGACGATGATGACAGAAAATTGGGGGTCTCATTTGGCTATAATAACTAGTTTAAACTTAACATGATTCACATGAAACCCCAATAATCACTTATCCCCATTTCGTTGCCATAAAGACTGCCCATAAACATTAGGGCTACAAGCAAACACTTCTACGGCTATGAGTGTTATTAACAGAGGCAAGCAAGAACAAAATTGTCATTTCCGTCCACATCCACCAAGACCTGCGGTATATAATCATACTCATGAACAGAGAACGACGAAGAGTACGCTAAAAAAGCCCGTTTTCGTATTTGTTGTATTTCCAGTCAGAAATCATTTATTACAAATTGGTCTTTACTCTTTGATCACATGCCAATGGGCTAGAATAATGATTTAAAGTGACTTAAAAAACCAAGACTTGCCTTACAATCGTTTGGCTGGGTGAAGTATTTTTAATCGAAACCAAAGTATTCAAATAGAGGCTTTGAAGAATTTACGTCCAGTGCCGCAAGCAAAACCAACAAGCAGTTATTGCAGTCTATTAGTTAACGGTGCTCTGTGAAATTACGAGAAACTCCCCGCTGCTTTCTCGATCATCAAAGCATGCGCTTAAGCAGCAGTGATATTTTCCAATGAGAATCTCCTTACACAGAGTAAATGAAGAAATAACAATAAGTGAACGAGAATTATAAAATGATGTATAGACAAAAGTTTGATGACGGAGCACACTGACTTTCTGCTGGAGCATACTCCATTGCATAGATGTGTTAAAAGGAAAAAGCACACTAAGTTTGTTTGGAAGCGAATGTTTGGAGGTAGACGTGCAGACTAATATTTAGGTGTGTACAGGATATAATTTATTAATAAAGTTTATTTAGAATTGGTATCCCGGCTATGACGAAAAAAAGGAGCAAGTGGTGAAATCTACAATATCCAACTGGGGAATAGACCAGAAGGAAAGGCTGGTCGTCAGCTGGCTGGGTGAAATTAGGAAAGAACAAAGTCTAGCCATATTGATCGGGTCTGCATGTACGAGAATAAAATGTAGACCAAATGCATTGCGCTTCCATTTAGGATACCCCTGAGCATTAGTTAACCAGTTGTCTTGTACAATGAAATAATAGAATGCATTGACAAACGGCCTACGTAATGAGCCATTTCCTCCCTTCTGTATATGCGTAAAGGGTCAATCCTATTTCCTGAAAATAATTTCTCGAAGAACTTACAAGCTGGGAGAGTTGTGGCAGTGTCTGCTCACCCAACCCGATCGAGACAGGTTTTCATATTATTGGTCTGCATATTGAGACACTGCCGGCTTCTCCCACGTTTTCACAAGAGACAGTAGACGACTAACACAAAGGCGGTCTCGTCTGGTAGGGCTTTGATCTTCTCAGAAAAAGGAAATTTAGACGAAAAATCTACTTTCCTGTTCCGTCTTTTTCGGACTCTTTCTTAAATCGACCTCACAGACACGCAAGTACGTGGACACACGATGCGGCAGTTTGCCTATAGCGGAAGACAAGCGTCAGCGCTGTTTCATGAAGGGCGCAGTGTCGCGTCGCGCGTGAATTTCTCCATAATTCAGCAGACTTGTGAAGCCTTCACCTCAGTAAATGCTTACAACGCCCAATATGTTTTGATTTCAAGACAAATTTAAGAGGACTGGAGGCAAGAGTGAGCGCAGCAGGTTAGGTGGCGTGAAAGCCTTCGTCTATGCGCACCGAGCATTTGAATCAAAGTCAGTCCTCAAACAGACATCTCGGGTCTCTCCCCAGGAAAGTGCACCCTAAATACTAGCTAAAGAATATTACAATCGGACTCCTGATACAGGAACGGAAAGAGTTATCTCGTCACCTGACAATATTCTAATTTACGATACTTAGAGCACCGTAATAGCTTAAGGCACTTCGGTTACTCATAGCGAGGAAGTAGGTGGTGTGGTCCGATGTGGATCAACGCCACCTTCGTTTGCCGTACCCATACAAGTAGTAAGTTCTAGTTCCTCCGCAAACAGATGCGACTGGGCGCAATGGTTGATGCGGTGTAAAAGCCATCGTCCACGCCCGTCACACACGATCCAGTCTTCAAACGTTGTTCCTTGATCTCACCGAAATGAAGGCTATTAACGGTACATTAAGAAGCGACTACATCAGATTCTCGTTGCAAATGGGGACAAAGGTAAAGTGGTACACCGCAACCTTAGTCAGGACTCTAAGCACGTCGAAGTTATGACGATGAGGAATGCGCTGAGAAAGTGCAGGCCAGTGTTGGTCCCACTCTTTCTTCCTTCCTTACATGGGCCGGTGGCCTGTTCGAGTCGAGTAGCCCGGTGCTGAGATTAGGAGTAGTGTCTAAAATGGCGGGAGTGTTCGACTAACCTGCGTCCCAATCATGCAGAGTAATAGGTAGCGGATTACGCAAACAGTAAAGCCAACTTAATTAAGCTACATGCCAATGAGACCTTCGTTTTGGTGACAGATGACGGGGAGGGGAGGGGAGGAGGGATGGCGAAGTAGTAGGGAAGCAAGGTCGCATACGCCGGCATACAATACTGCCTGTCCCTTGTGAGTCGAGAAGCAAAGTCAGAAAAATAGGTCCGTTTATTCGCCGGATTGTGCTTACGATACATTTTTAATGTAGCAATGTCTTATATCCGTTTAGGGCGTCGGGTGGCTAAAAAGACTTTTTTTCGCCGAGCATTTCGATAAGAGCAGCGCTTTGGTCGTTATGTTTGTTCTGACTGACATTAAGTACGAACCTATTGGTACAGTGCGAGGGTTGCTTTGCAGCAAAGCTGCGTATTGCGTCCAACCATGAGTAATTGCCATAAATGTGGCCGACGAGGACAAAGCACAAGGGATTGGCAAGAAAAACGGCGACTTACTCATTAATAAGTCTTTATGCAATAACAAAATTTGCTATCTCCGATGGAAATCTGAGTGGTGCACTAATGATTGCAAAACCTTCGTGGAAAGGCAATTTCCCAAAGACAAACAGTAGATAAACAGGCAAATGAGTTAAATAAGGCATATTATTGCAAAAAAACTAGCAGGTTCGTATGCGCCGATTTAAGAAGCCTAAGTTCTTCCCTAAGGCAATGAAGCAAGACAATGCGGGAAAAGATGATGGGAAACTAAAACAACAACTGTTACTGAAGCAGGTGCCAATAGACTTTCTTATTGCGAATGCTATCAAAATCGTGGCCTCCAATAGGTTACGGGATTAGGATAAACTAAGTTAACTAGTTAAGACTCCTACAGATGTCCTTTTCAGATGTACATTTAATATATATATATATATATATATATATATATATATATATGCAGAATGGTATTGCCGACAAAGACAAGGGAGACTGGAATGGCCATTTCTGGCTTATTAGCCGTTGTCAGCCAGCCATACCCAAGCCCGAAGTGTGGAACACCCGAGCCTCGAACTCGCGACCTGTTGGTTTAGAAGTCAACGCCTCTACTCACCGGGCCACGAGCCCGTTGCCTTGTCGGTTTTCGATCGGGAATATACAATGTTAGGGAGTCCATAAGGCACAACGGAACGAGTGAGTTCCGTATGAACGATCGGTGAGCGCCCCCTAACATTGTATATTCCCGATCGAAAACCGACAAGGCAACGGGCTCGTGGCCCGGTGAGTAGAGGCGTTGACTTCTAAACCAACAGGTCGCGAGTTCGAGGCTCGGGTGTTCCACACTTCGGGCTTGGGTATGGCTGGCTGACAACGGCTAATAAGCCAGAAATGGCCATTCCAGTCTCCCTTGTCTTTGTCGGCAATACCATTCTGCCTATCTATCATGCGCCGCTGTGCGGCTGCTGGTTGGGCTCGAGAGAGAGTCCATAAGGCACAACGGAACGAGTGAGTTCCGTATGGACGATCGGTCAGCGCCCCCTAACATTATATATATATATATATATATATATGTTTTGATGGAAAACCCGTTGGGGCCCAACGGTTTGGTGAATAAAGGGGACGTGCATAGAAGGGTATATATTCGGCATTCTCAAAAACCTTGGGTTATATTTGATGGAGCTTGTGTAGTTGTAAGACAAACAAAAGGCAATCTGAACTCCAGCATCCAGCTTCGAAAACTCCTTAGAGGTAGAAGTGTGCTAACATAGCTGAAACCGTGTTATTAAGAGGTATTTACATTATAAATACGACAAAGGTGTCCAAATATACAGAACAAAGTGATATTATTTGTGACCTATCGTTCAACTTCTAATAGCCTACACATAGTGATAAAACCACCAGCTCGATAAGAGGTTAGGGCCCAAAAAAGGGTATAAGCACATAGGCAAGTCTGTTGGTATAGCGACTGGTGTCGGATTTAACGTCAGCGTCAGAAAACAGCGTGGGATGGTAAAAACCGAAATTTGTTCAGATCGTCCATCAGGACAGAATAACGCCGGTTATTCAGCGTATACCATTGAGCAAGCAACATTTCTAGCTTTGAACTACCGGAGGAAGGCTGCCGACGTTGTGTTAAAAAAAACTATCAAGAGTAATGCTGAGAAATCGCTGAAAATTTTCCTCCTTAACCCATGGAAAAGAAATAAAAATAGTGAGAGTGCGTGCTAGGAAGAAGGTGAAATCGCTACTCAGGAAAAAAGTGGTAGACAGAAAAGCCATGTCTTAGGCCTACAGGCTCGCGTATTCCCCGAATGCACAGGCTAAAGAAAAGTTATCAGGCCATGTGTGCCGTGACAACAAATTTTTCCAATGAAGAATCCACTCCATCACAACCTCGTGCAGTTGTTAGACCAAAAAACAGGCCCTGCTAGATAGCGTCGGTGTTCCCAGCACTAGAGGTACATTTGCATTCGTAGAGAGTTCGAAGGACTTAAGCCTACTGAACATGCCGAAAACATTACCGGAGGCAAATCGCACCTTTATTAGACTGTTGGTCGAATAAAGCACTGACATAATTTGTGAGCATGCATCCGAAAAGTGTTTAGACCCATAACAACTGCAGGAGTTTTTGACATTATGCACCAAGAGTGCGCAATTCTTAAGCAAAGGGCAGTTTCACAGACCGATTAACGTCCTGAATATGGGTAACCGCTTAAATGCAGTCACAGGGAACATCAAAAATAAATTCTTGGCAGAGAAAATGTGTTGCAAACTCTACAACTGCATGAATACAGTAGGTGGTTTGATTCATGAAATGCCATGGCCGAAATTCGGTTGCATAGTATGCATATAATTGGTGTTGTTATTTGTGTTTGTTGGATTGATGTGAGGCGAATGGACCTGTTTGCTGGAGAAGACTTCATTTTAAATCTATTTTATGAAGGCAGACAGGCCAGATTTGGGTGAAATCAGACGTTTCATTAAATCCGGGTAATTTACTGCGCTGTCGAAATTCACAGGTCAAAGTCTCTTATTGTGCGCCTTGTGCTATAAACTGACATTAATATATGAAAAGTTTGAAATAAATCCCCTCAGGAGGCGGAAAATTGGATTTTGCGTCCTTGAAAATCAGTCAAAGGCAGGCATAAGAAATCGCACTTTTTGAGGGAAAATGGTGGACTTAGCTTCAAAACGCCTGTTTTGCACAGTTATGACGTTTTGTGACACAAAATTCAGCAATAAACTTGCTTGACAGTAGAGTGTTCTAGAACACCAAAGGTTACTGAGCGTAAACATATATATATATATATTGAGTACTCGCGACATACTCTCACTTTTCTGTTTCACACCGTGCAATAAAGATGTTTAGATAATTTCCATCCGCAGTCGACTGCGAACGGACAATAAATTTAGCAGGGGAAGGCTTGTTGCGTGAGTTGTTGGAAAATATTTACATTATTACTAAAATTACTCTGTGACCGATTATAAACGATTGAACGATAGGATAATCAGGGCGGACCAGAACAGTCCAAAAGTAAACCTGGCGACGATTGCTTTCATTTTATACCTTACAAGTACCACTATTTGCTCATTCAGACCGTCCACGTGCAATATCTGCCGATGTTCTCTATGAACATAATCAAGAAACAAATGCAGAAATCTTAAGTTCATCAGGTAAAGGTCATGCTCAGGTTCTTTTTGAGTAGGGAACTTGTCAGGGGACACTTCGTATTTGAGAAGAATTACATTAATTATAGGCCCTCACTCTGAAAGAGCATATGCTTCTACAATAAGGGCCTTATGTTAAGAAAAGCCCACGAAGTTGGTTGGATAGTCATATGTGGAAAGAAATTCCCGATAGAGCACACTGCGTATACGACAACCTTCAATTACTGTGGATGTTTGATGGTTTGGATGGGTATCACAGTGGGAGAGCGGCCAGTCTGGCGTTCGATCACGGACACCATCAGCAGCAGGGTGTTTATCGACATTGTGAATGATGTCTTCGGTTTCAACAACATTCACCGGCGCCGAATGGATATTGTAATGCTTTTCTAATGCTTTGTAATGCTTTTGTTCATCGCTCTGAAAATGAATCTTACAGCGCTCGCAAATATAATATAAATTCTTAGACAACAGCCTCTTATATGCGGCCTCTAGTAGATTTTTATTTCTACCAACAGCCCGGATCTTAATCCTGCAGAAAATCTTCTTGCACTTATCTAAAGAGATTCACACTAAGAATAAAAGAATCTTTCAATGTAATAAAAGCCCGATTAGATGTCAAAACTTCAGACTATACGATCCACTATAAACAACCTGGCTATCTTCATGTCTGAAGGACTTCATGCTGCAAATTGGCAGTCAAAAAAGTACCGATCTTTTGTATGTGCTATTATTTCTCACTGTTCATTTTTTACGCGTTCCCTTTGCTTATGTACCCTTATAGTTGACCTTACAAAGGTAATTTATAATATAGCCATTTTCCAAAATTTTGTTTTTCAGTCAACATTGAATATCTCTGTGTTAGAAAGCAGTACTTTATAGATCAATCTATGTCTTCTTTTTACGTACGGTCGTTTCTTTACTGTTGTAAAACGTTGGGGGATGAAGGGTGAGCAGAGTTTTTGCTACACGGAATTTCTTGTGAAATTTATGACATTTAATAAGTTGCCATATCTACCGTATATGCGAACAATATTTTTGTCACAGTAAATAACTCGATGGACAAGGAGCTTGTTCAAAAACATAAACTAAGCATATACAAAAATAAATTTATGACTGAGCAAGAGAAAAACAACACTTTGTCTTTCGTGGGCGTTCCTGTTCATAGACGAGCGGGTGGCTCAATTCACGACTCAGTCTGTCGGTAAACCACACAGAAATAACATTACATAAGTTTTGTGAGCTTCGTTCCAGTTCAGAAGACGATCCTTGGTTTTGTGCCTGTTCGATTGACATGATATATATAATTTCCCAGCGCTTATCCTCAAGGCGATTTTTAGAATCAGGTATCTAAAGAAATCCATCGGTACCTATCGTCATCCCTGACACTAAAATCCAAACGTAAATACCTTTCGAGGGTTATAACGTGGCAAACAGAATCGGTTAAATGTTCTGGTGCACAGTTAAACGTCTATTTCCGTTAGGCAGATTAAAGATGCCTTGTTTGTGCATACCACGCCAGACTCTATCTATGAATTTACATGTAGATTCGGACCCAAACACATCAGACGCAGACGAAGACAGTTGGCAATTCCGTTGGCGATGGGGAGCCCAATTACGAAGTGCTGCAAGAACGCTGGTCACATGGTGAACCCGATGACAGCAATTAAAGTCCTACTTCGAGCAACGACTGGGCGTCCCCTTCGCAATTTGGAGGCTGCGGAAATACGGAGAATGCTAAAACAGTGATCGATCGTGCACTGTCATGGTAAGAGGCAGTGTGGAAAATGACTCCAATCCCCTCTCACGTCTCGCCAGTCGCCCACATGATTGACTAATGTTCCTATCCCGTTTGACGACTTTTTGCCGTGATCAATAATCGCTCACCCCACCCATTCGCAGCAGATTCACCCACAAACCTGACTAACACTTCCCGCTGTCTATGTACTCACCCCCTTTTGAGGATTCCAGGCTGCTTTTTGAGGGTTCCAGGCCGTTTTTCTACCCACCTTTTTTAAAAATATGCGGTGGCCGTTCAAAGTTGAACGAAAGATCACGAAATCAATGATGCCATTTTGTTCAGCATGTTTTGTGCCCTTCATCTTCTCCAGATTTATTTCAAGGGAAAAGTGGTTTCGTTTACCTATGAGCAAATTCAACCCCTTAGAAGAGCGGTAAAATCAGCTTTAATTTATCTGATTTTGAAAAACATGTTGTGCAGACCTACTTTCCGATTTCGTCTGTGAGACAGTAGTTTTTTGAACGGCATTGGCCATCGCAACCACACTCAGGTTATAAAAGAAAACAAACTCGGCCTGTATCAATGCATTCTGCAATGGCTACGAGTCCCACAGTACGGATGACTCGTAATCTCTTCTTTAGTTATTAGCCTTCAACGAATACGTCTGTGAATGTAGCCACAGCCAGAAAATCACAAAACAGTTGTGTTCGTGCGATAGAACTACCGAGACATTTGCTCTGCTGACCATAATGAGTAGCACAGCCTGATGTAATTCACAAAAGCGGCCGCTAGGGTATCAGAGACAGACAACAACCAGCCCTTCTACCAGATTACTAATCTCATCCCCTTCAATGACTCGGTAGTTAATCTACCGAGTAACAACTTCTTCGAAAATATTACCTACCATGTTCTGGATTAAAATTCAACCTTTATTTGGTTGATTTACTGTAAGAAGACACGTGATAATGCTGAATCGGTGAGGTGGTCTTCATTGTCTGAACTGTGGAAGCGACTTCTTTGGAATGAAACATGGAAGAAGAAAGTCACGCACAGCAATAGTTTCTGGACGGGTGAGTTTTGTATTCCCATGTCATGTTGCAATGGAGAATATCGTTAACCAGAGGTGTGAGTTTTCTAAACTGACCTACTCTTTATTTTCTAGGGCACATCGACTACAGAAGTTCCTCAAGAAGCTTCGGGAGCCTGTTGCGTCTTCCACATTCCTTTTGAGAGAATCAAATAGACATCCCTCAGAAATTATAAATACTAGGCGAGATATAATGCCTCGAGACAAGTGTGTCAACTCGAATAACGGAGATAACAGCGGCAGGCGCAAAAGAGAAGCTGAGGTTGAAACGGAGTGGCTGAAATCATCCTTCGTGGGTATTCCTAACACACAGAACAACAGTTAAGCTGGTAAAGAATGCAGTTTATCGCCCAGTATAGCAATTCATGACTAAATCGGACACTTCTGGGGTGCCATATAAGAGCAGTTTCAGGAGAAACAGTCCTGACTTTCTCTACCTGTCAACTTGGTCTATTCATTTGAATATGACAACTTTATTTTTGTCCATTGTTGTCGCTTCACCGTTTTAACGATGCCGGTGCATGGAAGTAAACATAACCGACCTCTTTGAGTTTAACTTCACTCTCTTTAACTTTATGTTTATACGACTACTTTCGGCGACAGACATTGGGAATATTCAGAAGCACAATCGACTTATCTTCTTTCCTATGAAAATATATACTTAGCTCTCAGCTGTCTAGTCTCCTCTAAATTTCTTCTTGACTGGTAGATACAATCCAAGCTGGAAAAGCTGTGTACCTCAAAAACGAAGGGCTTAGGAGAACACGAATCCCTTCCCACACAAAATTATCCAAAGACAATTATACGTAGAAGCTCGGTGGAAGACATGGCATGAGCAGTTCGGCCAGGGTTCAAGAAGTCAAGACAAAGTTCATACCCATGGTGCCTTGTCCAAGCAAATACAGCACCATTAAATATCACTTTTAAAAGCACAGTGTGCTAATAATAATACTGATAGTAATAAATCATAGCCCAGAACAACATGCTGAACATTTGGACAAGACCGCCATCCAAGCAGCCACTTGTGTATTTTAGAGTATCCTGAAGAAACAACATCATGGAAATGAGAGGTAATAATTTGGAAGACGGTGTTCAGATGGATGAAAGAAGAGTTTAGAGATCAAGCTTGACTAAATTATTTTAAAAAAGGCAGGTGTGTAAGTGGTCAGTAACTGCTGATCTCTCGTTTTATTTGACAAAATGAACTGCTTTAGAAGCAATTAGTTGGTGTTTAATAAGAGAAAAAGTAAAACTCTGTTTACGACAGTAGGATATAACGGTTTCCAGCTGACTTTCACTGAAAGAACAGGCAATTCATGCTTGGGAAACTCGTTGGCTTATATGAGAACCAATGCGCGAAAATACCAAGAAAAAACCCCCAATTTTGCCTAATATCATGCATTTTGCAACTAACGGCCGTAAACAATGTCAAGGACGGTATAGAAATCACGTAACAGTGAATCCATTTTCATCCAAAAAGGTGAACGTAACGAGTGTAGACGGCAAAAAAGCAATGAAAACCCATGTCACATTTCGGTCTCATTTTCAGTGAGAGCGCAGTTATGCCATAAAAATAAGCATAGGGTGTGACCGTTTTCAGGCGCCGAATTGTGTCGGAATATTATCAACGAACAGAGCTGTTTTAGGGAACGACGTAATTTTGCGCCCGTCCCCTATCAGGGTGCTAAAAATCTGTTTGCCTTCTAGGGACAGTTTCAGATAAGGCATGTGATTAGAATTCATTCGGTGAGCAGCCTAAAGACTCTACGTGAGCGAACTTCGTTCATGACCAGTTGATTTATGTTCTTTTGGATAATGAGGCTTGTCGGAGGAGCATTTGCCTTGAGCTTATTTCTAACCCCCTGAGCGGAGCTCTTCGCACCATTTAAACGGCTGATACATGCATACGTATAATTTCACATTTCAGGAGCCTCAAAACCGGGGTATGGATCAGGTTGCTTGATGACGACTGATAAGCCAGACGTTGCCACCCCAGTTTCTCTTGTCTTCGCCAGTAATCTCATTCTGTGGCTGCGCAATACAGCAGAAATATTGCGGAACGTGTCTGAACTTTTGGCTAGTACCTATGTCGGGGGTACGGTAAACACCTCTGACAATACAGTATGTGACCTATATCCCGAAAGGTGCCTAAATTTAGGGAAGATTGCTAATCACTCGCAAACGAATGGACGAAGGCTCTGGAATAATAATGGGCGATTTTAAGCGAACTGAAAACACGAGTGAAATATTAAAACTAATGTCAGATTGGTTAGAAATATCAACTTGTTAAGAAAAATGGAAAATTCCGAAAACGTCAAAAATGATTGTAACTGAGTTCTCGGTGTACAGAAAGCCTGTCCGTTCAAAAAGCGAGTAAATACAAAACCACAAGTAGATTAACGTCTGAATATAGTCCTTAAGTGAGGTGTGCACCTAGATGCCCGTTAGGAATAAGTGTAGTGTAAAGTATACCAGTTAGACAAAAGCTTGCAGTTTGATTATAGATTCGAAGACGGTTTATGAGAGTTGAGTGTTTTTTTTCCATTCTTACATTGTTTGAGATGCGGTTGACGAAGGCGAACAGGTCCTTGCTTAATTTCGCTGATAGAGACGTTGCACGAATGAAACGTTTCACAAGGTCACGAGTTGATTGACCGGTCAGTGGTTAATACGTTTGAATAGGATTGGCGGATGCAATCATAAACATGCCATTTCGTGTATAATACTAAAATACTTTTCCTGCCAATTTCTTTCCAGTTCTGTTGCTGGAGAATGATGAGTTTCCGACGAGCCTTCTATCTTCATACATATATCATAGGGGGACGATAGCGTCTGGGGGGGGGGGTAGATTGATAAAGCATTGTTTCCGGCTTGTTTGCCTTCGTTGAGCAAATCATAACTCTGAGTACCAGCTGGGATCGGAAAGACAAACATGCGGTCTCACTTGACGCAGCTGGTATACCACTGGAGTCTACCAGACGGGTCGCAAGCACTTCATCGAACCGAAGTTCATCAATGCCTTGACACCTGACCTTCTCTGTCGATGAAGAGCGGGTATTAATTCACTCAGGAATGGGTGCACACCGATCCATTGCCTTTATGGAGCAAACAAACTTCGTATGGGTGGTAGGGGTCACGGGCAAGCAACTACCTACCAGGTCCAAGTCAGTCAAGCTATGCTATAAGAGGGGAGACGACAGAGCCTGGCGGACAGATTGATACAGCACTTTTTCGGGCTTGTTTGCGTTCATTTAGCCAGTCATAACCCGGCCTGAGCCAGGTGTGTGAGAGCATGTTTATGTTCCCGGTCCACCTGGTGGTTAGGGTTATGATTGGCCGAATGAACGTAAACAAGCCCGAAACAGTGCTGTATCAATCTTCCCGCCAGGCTCTGCCGTTTCCCCTCTGATATCATAGCTTGGCCGATTTTGGTCTGGAAGGTGCTTGTTTGTTCGTGACCCCTATCGCCCGTACGAAGCCTGTTTGCTTCAGAAAGCCAATGGATCGTTTTGCGCTCACCCCCCAGTAAATATACATATCTTTAATGATAGGTGGGCGTTCCCAGATCGTTTCTACGGAACTCACTCTCGTTCAGGTGTTCCGCACTTCGAGGTTGGGTATGACTGGCTGACGACCGCTAATAAGCCAGAAATGGCCATTCCAGTCTCCCTTGTCTTCGTCGGTAATACCATTCTGCCTTTATCATGCGCCGCTGTGCGGCTGCTTATTGGGTTCGAGAGAGAGCCTGTAAGGCACAACGGTACTAGTGAATACCGTAAAAACGATCGTTGAGCGTCCCTCTACCGTTATATACATACATATATGTAGATAAGGTGATACCGACAAAGACAAGGGAGACCGGAATGGCCATTTCTGGCTTATTGGCCGTCATCAGCCAGTCATACCCAACCCCAAGTGTGGGGGCCGTGGCTCAATGGTAGAGCGTCAAACTCCATGACCAAAGATCCCGGGTTCGAATCTCAAGTGATCCACACTTGGGGTTGGGTATGACTGGCTGATGACGGCTAATAAGCCAGAAATGGCCATTCCGGTCTCCCTTGTCTTTGTCGGTATCACCTTATCTACCTATATCACTAGTCGCTGAGCGACTGCCTGCGAGGGTTTAAGTAGGAGCCCTAAGGCACAACAGAACGAGCATGTTCTGTAACCTGATCGGTGAGCGCCCATCTGTCATAATACATATATGTGTTTATTAAATAACCGACGTAGTGTATATTCCAAGATGATATGATGAAAGCGGAATGCTCTTTGGAAAAGCAAGTTGTACTTGTGGATTTTCGAGGTGACACCAACCCCTCTTGGGACGAGATAAACAATGGAGAAAGTGATATTGTTGGACTAGATCTGCTGATGCGGTAAGATAGGCAGCGACGGAGACCACTTGTCTATATGAGGGATGGGAACGGAGTTGTGGGGGGTTTCTGAAGGGGAGCTGAGAGAGAACGGTTACGGTCCCCCGTGGTAGAGGGAAAGTGAAATAGCAGGTCATTAGGGCCACAGGAGGTTGCATTAGTGTTCGTTGGTATGCGATAATGGCGTGTGTTTGTCCACCAGTTTAAGAGTTGTAGGGGTTTTCATTTGTGGTCCGCCATGTCATCTACCGCATTCCCTGCGTTAACTGCTCTTGAGTTTACGTTGGCCATACGGGCCGACGCCTCGGGACTCAATTTGTCGAGCATAAGCTAGCCGTCCACTAACCTGGCCTCTTGTCCCTTATGTTTGTGTACGCCCTTGGCTGTGACCACCATCCCAAATTGGACGGTACTGAAGTGATCGAAAGGGCTAACACCAACTAGGCGCGAAAATTCCTCAAAGCTTGGTACTCTAACGCGACCAGCATCAACCAGCGTGTCAGTCTGGACGCTTACTGCGAAGATCTGCGTGCTCAGTTTACTGACTTGCGCTCACCTAGCAACAGCTGCTAATCCATGGCCCGGTCACGTAGAATATCACGGGCCCATCCACTCCGATGACTACAATGGAAATCGGAATGGCCATGTTAGGCTTTTTAGACGGCAGACTCTGCGCAAGTCTACTGTCACTGTAAAGGAAGTCACGCGGAAGTCACTGAGCCTACTCTCACATTGTTGCGCAGCAAACTGTGGACATCGTCGGTCACAACGGTCGAACTGTCAGACGTCATCTGCCAGTCACACCCAACTCCAAGCATGGGGACTTAGCCGCTCGCGTAATCCAATGCGCTATTCTTGGGCTTATGGTATCTAGCTCCAAGCCTCGGCAGTGCTCGACCCTCCACAAATCATGGCCCAGTTGTTCAACAATAAGTATTTATGTTAGAGAAAGTGCACGCAAATCAATGAGTGCATCTGAAATTGTCACTTACTGACAATACAAACACAAGGGAATTAATCATTACAATTGAAATATAAATCTTTGACGCTGACTTCCATGTACTGAACGCCAGTTAGTATGACAGTTTCCCCAAACGCAAGTGGAAGAGACAGGCGAAAAAAACAGGAGATAATTTGATTTGATTACTGTGATTAGGTAACACTCCCGGCAGGCCTTCAAGCCAAGGTGTCAGAGTTCCACTATGAACGCACACAAACAGTCTAACTTCAGCTTGCTTATCTTCTAAGCATTTTGACATAAGCGACTTGGCCATGATTTGGGAAACACCCATCCGGCTGAGGCATTCAGACACTAAAATAACGGACACAAGCGTAACAATCGTTACCCAAGGCATAAGAAATTATCAGGCCTAATTTGATACTGGTATATTTACTGTGCCATCCCCACTGGGGTCTAAAGACAGTAATTGTAGGAACAAGTGTTAGTTCTTAATTGGGATTTTGTCTTGGAATCCTAATCAAGCCTGATAAGACATAACAGTTAAAGTCCGCTAGATTAGTTTGTATTAACATTCCTAGATGAATAAAGAAATAAATTGTTTTATTAAGTACCCTTGGGGACCCCGTTTTCAGTTAAAGCGTATCGCAGGCACTGTTCTGGTAAGTCCCTGTGTGCCATTTGAGCTATTTGATAAAACTATTTTGAAGATTCTTCGACAAAAAAGCCACAAATCTCCGAAACTTCGAGCATGCATGCCCATTAGTTTCGATTGCCTGCCAGAAAAACTTCTACCAGTCAGATTCACCAAGTGTGAAGTTTGGAAACTAAAGTGTACTCGTCAGTCAAACACTCTGTGCTTCTAGAAATTGTGCATTATAGTCCAATAAAGCGTAATTAGAGCCTAAATGCAAAGCCACTGCAGGTGCTATATGGACAAATATTTGGTTGAGATTGCTGAATCGGAGGTAGTTTCTAAATGTGGTGACACTGGCGATGGAAAACGAGTAGCGCGGACTTATACCTGCTTCCCATGCGTTCGCTGTTTTTACGTGTATGTAGGCCTTACAGGTTGGCGCTTCGGAACCTGGCTCTCTTAACATAAACTGCCCGTGGAGTTGAACCCTCCCTCTCTTTTGAGCGCTAACTCAAAAGCGATCGTCGCTCCAATTATGATGTCACCGACGTTATTGGCACTATCACCACCGAACACGGCAATTTTTCCCGATCTGGTACTCAAGTGGTAGCGGCATAATAGTCATCATGTTGACCATAGCGCATTTTATGAAAGCCTACAGGTATATTGCCGCTTTAGCCGTCAACGTAAAAACCACGGGTTAATGACGATCATAGGTTATTCGCTCTTCCCTCGGACCTGCTGTCCCCTACTTCGCCCTTAACGAACGTCGAACAAGGCTCTCCTTCCCTCGTTCATACTCTCAAAATCGGGATATCGATCATAAACTCCCTCCTTCCCCATCGCCCCAAGCGCGCGCGAACCACACTCCTTGCAGAGACTTTGGTTTGACGATGGACCGTTGTTAACACCTAGAAAATTAGCGAGTAAGACTGAACTTCCGAAAGACTGTATCCTACTGACGACGATACGGAGATTTTTTAAACCTGGGCGGCTTATTAGTCTCTGTCTTGATTTAGCCGACATGAGAGAGCAAAACGGCGGCCTACGACGCCTGTTCTGTGCGAAAAGGGGGAGGGAGGAAGGACATGAGGAAGAAAGGCTGGAGCGATGGCAAAAAGCAGCTTTATAGTTTTTGAGTCAGCTGACCACTTGGTCGAACGCATTCACGCAGGCGGGGAGGAAGGCGCGACAACGCGAGCGCGTAGGCATGAGAGGAGAACGGGCGACCTGCTCCAAACAGCGCGTCGGGTCATGGCCACTGTGGAAGACAGAAAAGTACACACTCGCACGCACGCGCGCGACAGCAGGGAAGCTGAGTTGCTGACAGGTGAGGGGCAACTAGGGAGCTTGAAGTGAGGAACGGGATGCTCAAAAAAGAAAAACAAGGTTGACTTGACTAACTAGTGGGAGCTATCACCCAGTCGGCTGAAACGTCCACAATGCTGTTGTTGCTGTTTTTGCGGCCAAAAATACAATTAAATTAACTGTCTCACTTGGGAGTTATGAATTGGGGGGACGAACGGTGAACGATACCGAAAGGTAAAATAAGCCTCATTTCTGCATTCTCAATGAGTTTTATTCTTATGTGACAACGACTTTAGAGAGGAACTGTAGAATGAGGTCGAAAATCAACAAGCCGACTCAGAGACAAAAATGCCAGCGCATTGTGTTTGCAAGGGTCAGTACGATAGAGAAGACGAACATTTACTCAAAATCGGTGTTCGCATGGTCAGAAAAAAATGAACGATTCGGAAGAGGAATCCCCGAGTTTCTCTTGCAAATTTGATATAGTTTACGCCTTTAGAATGAATTTTAAAACAGGTTTACCTAGAAGTGACACAGCGTTTTTATGATATTAGGTCTTGAAGAGTTGACAAAAGGATTCCAAAACGTCTTCACTGTTATAAGTGAATTTAGGTGTGAAGTGAAGCAGTTAAATTTAACTATGCTAAGCGGAAAACTATCGTTACATGCTGTCTACAACTAAGGATTTTAGAAAATTGCGCAAAAGGGTAGGTAAATACGCAACCAAAAACGAGTTCCTTGGAACCAAAGTAAACCGTAAAATTCGATTTCTCACAGGAAGATGGGTTGCCCGTTAGCCTAGCTGCTGGCAACCCGGCGCGTCCACAGGCTGCGGACAGGGGAACAACCTTCAATGAAGGTTAGCTGCGAATTAGGCAGATCCAAGTCTGATGAATAAGCAGTCGTGGACCAGCAGTGAATGTGTTGCCAGGGTGCGGAGGGCTGAGGTCTGGCGTGCTAGAAGCCTTATAAGAAAGCCGCAAAGCATGATGACGGCATTGTGACATGCCGACCGTGAACCGTCATTAAATAAGTTTCTGTGCCACCGCTGGCTTGTGGTCAGGCTCTTGAGTCAAAGCGCTACGGGAGAAAACCTCGAACAAACAACCCAAGCGGTTATTGGGGATCCGCCTGTACTCCAAATTCCCATAAAACCCCATAAACTATGTCCAATTACAGTATTACGACCCATTTTGCAGCGTCCGCGGGAACCGACGCGCTCCGCAACCCTGGTCCCGTGATGTGGGCGAATAGTGTGCGAGCTGGAATACTCAATTGGGAAGGGACTCTTGGTACTAGATGCTGGGACGTGGGAACGTTCCTGGGTTCTGGTACCCAAAGTCTGACGGAGCGCGGCCTTTATCAGTACAGCATGGATGTCTGCTGCCTGAATCAGACTCTCGAGAAATAAACACTAGCTTGGGAACCAGTCAGTGACCGAATGGCCTACGCGCGACTGAAGGGTCAATTCACGAACATCTCTATCGCCTCTGTGTACGCACTTATTTCAGTTGCTGAAAAGTGCGATAAAGAGGCGTTTTACTCGCAGCTGCAAGTGGTCATTGAAAGACTCACTCGCCGCAATCTGTTGATTGTTCCTGGTGATCGGAATGGCCGGACCCGACCCGGCGATTCTACAAACAGTCATCTTATTGACTGTTTGGACTGGTTTCTCGATGTGAAAATGGCGAGACTGATGAACTTCGCTGATCAGAATTGACTTCTTGTCACCAACACATGTTGTCAGCATCATAACAAACAACTGCTGACCTGGTATTAAGATGACGATCATACGGCCGGTCAGATTGACTACATACTAGTCAGCTTAAGGCTCCATAGGTTGGTTCACGATGGCAGATCGATGCATGGTGCCGGGACTGGTAAGGCCCATGGGTCAGATTATGTCCTTGTTCACGTTTGAAAGTTAACCTCTCATCTTCGCCAAAAATGCCACGTCCTAGACGCCTCGATGTCACAAAAACCTGGTAAACCAGCACTGCCAGGACACTGAGCAGATAAATCTGATCCCGTTTTATGACCCAAGCCAACGGAGATGGCATTAAACAGTGGTTGTTACTGGAAACATCAGTCTATGGGGTAGTTAAGAAAATCCTCGGACATACCCCGCGACGCCGCAGCGACTGGATCAGCGGGAGAACACTGCAGTTATCTGCTCAGACGGCTCAAGCCAGGTCCCAGAACGATGATTCCTTCCGCTAACTGCGGAAGATGACGGCAAGGTCGGCCAGGGATAGCCGAAAGAAATACTGGACTGAAATATCGAACTCCATGGAGCAGGCCTCGAACGTAGGTGACACTTCAGAACCCTACCAGCTTATCTCCGAAGTTAGTGGTAAGCCCTCTGGACTGATTGACTGTTCGCGACGTGAATAGCGGCTTTATTGCTGACAACTATGCCAAAGCCGAGCGCCGACGTGAGCACTTAGAACACCATCTCAACTTGAATGGCCAACCCACCACGCCCTTACTCTCCAATTCAGCGGAGTTTCTTCCCTCCCAAACCTATGCAATGTTATGCGACCCCCCGTCTGAATGGGAAGTCGCCGATGCCATACAAAGTCTACGCAACAACAAGGCACCCGGGGAGGACGGTATACCCGCTGAAATCTATAACTTGTGTCAACACTCTGGCGCCGTGGATCTATGATTTGACTGAACAAGCGTGGAAAAACAAGGTTACTCCTGATGACTGGGGCTCAGACACCCTTGCAACTATTTTTAAGAAGGGAGATAAGGCGGGATGAGGGAACTACTGCGGTATAAGCCTCATCGGCGTTGCTGCGAAGATCTTCGCTATCGTCCGTCTCAGGCAATCCCAGGCTGAGTATGATTTTAGGACGAGGCCCAACCAAGTTGGATTCCGTGCTGGACGTGAATGTGCGGACCATATGTTCACACTAAGGCGTATTTTCGAATTCCGTGATAGCTACCGACAACCGGCGGCCGTCTATTTTGTTACCTGCCGCCGCGTTCGATTCCGTCAATCGTGAGTCTCTGTGGCGGATAATGGCGCTAGATGGTGCACCGGCAAAAATCATCGCCATGATCAAGGCCCATTGCACACCACGATTGCAAAGCTTATGGTTCATAACAATCTTTCCCAACCGTTTGGTATTCGGTCTGGCATTCGGTAGGGTGGTATCCTGTCGCCAATTCTGTTCAACAATACTAGCGACTGGATTCTCGGGAGGGCTTTACACGAAGGTGACGGTGTTGAGTTTGCACCCGGACTCCGGCTGACTGACCTTGACTGCACCGGGAATATCGCCTTACTTGCTTCAAGCTTTGGTGATCTGCAGTCTATGGCGTCACGGATGAACGAGGTCGTTAAATCGGTCGGTTTATCCCATAAACGCAGAAAAGAACAAAGTGTTTTCAAACTATATCCCTGACCAGGAGAAGGCATCTCTAGGGATTGATGGCTGCCAAATCGAAGAAGCAGACAGTTTTAAATACCTCGGTGCGAGGCTGCAGCCGAATGGACAGAGTAAGGACGACATTGTCTCCCGAACTGACGCTGTCCGCCGGGTCTTCTCAAGCATTAGAAAATGCCTATGGATCCGACGTGACGTCTCTATCGCCACTAAGTTTCCCGTGTACTGTGCACCTGTCTGGTCTGTCCTTCTCTGCGGTTGTGAATGCTGAGCTGTGCGCGTGGAGGACGAGCGAAAACCGGAGGCATTTGATCACCGCTGCCTGAGGGCCATCCTTTCAGTGAAGTACGCCAACTTCGTCTCAAATAACACAGTCCGCACTCGCTGCGACAACATCGCAAGGGTAGCCCAGGCCATCCAGGAAAGAGGACTGAGGTGGTTTAGGGATGTTCTTCGTCGTCCACCACATGAGCTCAGTCTTACTGCCTTCGATCGGACACTGTTACCCCATTGGAAGCGTCGAAGAAGAGGTCAACTCGAAAACTGGTTCAACACAGTTCGTCAAGACATGGAAGTGGTTTTTAGATCTTCGCTTTCCGGTCTCTGTGGCTGGCGAAGAGAATGGGTTGAGATGACCAGATCCGCTGCCGCGAATATTCATGCGTGGAGAGGGACAGTTCGGGACGTTATCGAGCCCGGCTAGGTCAGGCATAATCGCAGCCGTGCCAAGTACAAAGTACAAGAGTTTTCACAAACCATTCAATTACAGAGGCGTTCAGTTGTGGCCTCAGTTTTGGGATATTACACGGATATCCTCTCAGAAGGGTATGGTAACCTTTAACTTCGTATTTAAACACATTACTAAGAAATACTACCATAGGTTCACAGATCTCTCTTCGATCTACCTACCACTTAATAACATGGATTGTGTGCGGCGCATGAAGCTGCTTGGGATGCCTAGGCAAATATACCCTAATATTTGCAATTAAGTTAGCAAACTGGTTATTGCTCACTAGCAGGCAAAGTTCTGAGGCCAACGCTTGCATATGTGCATCAAAAAGGCGTCAGATATTTATGAACAAATTATTGCAAAACTTTCGGTCATATTTTGGAGGCAGTAGCTGCAAACAAATGCAACTTCAGTGTTGATAGAATGCATGTAAAGTCTGCCTCCGATAGCTTCCGACCCATGATTCTGTCATTTTTAAACAGTGACGAAACAAAACGTGAGAGTGGATGTCTGTTTCCACAGCAACTGGCCAGCCGTGATTTGCGCACGCATTCGGCCGCAAGGAGGAATTAATAGCCTCGATTCTACATATGAGCTCGTAGAAATGGCGTACATGGGAATATTTGGACAGTCAAGTAAAAAACCGACACGGACTGCAAGACCAATTTTAATACTTTCTACCCGCTTTCTGGACTTACAAATAATGTCTGAAAAAAACAATGCCCATCCTATCTTAGCTCATCATTCCTGCTCTATGTAAACCAAGACCATATAGGTGGTGATAACTTGTGCCTGAACCGAACCGACTAGGCCGCACGCCTCTACCTGTGCTCATCACATGCATGTCTGTTTGTTTTGACCAAATCTACATCTAGAAAAGTTCGTTGCATAAGTAAACTTCAGCAAGTTCGGCAGGTACTAGAGTTTTGCGGCCTTGCTCTTCAGTTATACGAATTCCAGGGGCTCGGCCAAGTCCGATAATTCCTCAGACATACTTCTACCCTGTAAGCAGTGCAACAACCCTAGCTCTGTTTATTTTAACGTCTACCCAGATAACTTGTCAGCCAAGAAAATCACGGCCTGCTCTGTGCCCGCAAGCAAGCACCGTAAAATTTCCATACCAATGTAGTTAGGCAAGCATTAACATCAAGCTGCAAGCAAAGTAGAACATGTGGTATGAAGGTCAGCAAAAATCCATCAAGTAATATACAAATCCAGAGCCTAGTTAAAACGTACGAAATACTTTAGCAGAAAGAGAGAAGCTTCAAGCAAAGTGCTCCAGTAGATGCAGAATAGACTTAACCTGACTAAGAATTATCTCTGCTATGTGGCCAGTTTTCTGAACCAAGGACGTCATATATGTCCTCAAAAACTCTCCCTTTATATCGAGCAAACTTTAAGACCCTTTATATTTAGGTTAGTGGGAAACTTTTAATAGTGCGATAGCTCAAATATCAGCTGCTTAATTAAGCATCTTTTCGGTCAGCCAAAACATAAGTTTGACCGGCCCCAAAGTTCACGAGACAACCTTTTAATGTTTGTGGTGAATTGTAATAATACGACAGAGACCAGGTCCCTGAATTTGCCAGACTTATGGTTAAAATCCCAATCTTTAGAGAAACGAATGGATGAGTTCCTAGTGTGTTGTGAGAACAGTAGTCATATAACAATAAAGCCTTTGTCTGTGACTTTTAAAGTTTACTTATTTGACAGCTCTCTACGAAATTCCATCCCGAAAGTAGTACTGTTGCACGGTCTGACGTTGGACACTATTCAGAAGTGAGAGCGTACTTATTGCATACTGAAACTTTGACGAAGACAAAATCATCATACGCCAAATGCGGATGCACCGGACAGGTCAACAGCTGGATTGTTTATTTGTTCCGCACTAAGCGAAAATGCAGTTTAGAGTTCAAATCAGGAATAAACATAGTCAACTAAGATTTCTGCGTAATCACCGGTAGTTCCTTGTGGATAATCGCTGTAGATACTTGAATAAGGCCTTCCCAAATATACACATGGCGTCATGCTCAGTCCAAACATTCGGTGGTTGCTAAAAACGGTATTTGGTAATATAAACGAGAAAGAGAAACGACACCACCGAAGACCCTTAAGGTGCATTGGATGAGCCGGTAGCTCACTTGAATTGACAGCTCAAAGGCGCAACAAACGGTCTCGTATTTCATAAGACCAAATTTTATGATTGTGTATAGTTGAATTCACATATACAGCTTTTCCACAGCAACCAATGCTTGACTTTGAGGAAAAGAGGACACAAGCGACTACGTGCATTCAAAATCTGGATCAAGCCCTCAAAAATGAGCTTACATGGATTGCTTCGAATTCAACCGTAACCAATCCCACAATAACTTCTTTCCAATGACTATCAGATTATCTGCTTCATGACCTCAACAAGAAGCTCTTGCGTTATTATGAGAAAAGTCCAGTCGGTCAAATTAGTTGCCATACGAAGTTGACCTGCGCTCGCCTATTTTTGCGAGGCACATGCGACTTCATAGGGGCTCATGAACGAAGAGGTGTTCAAAAACTTTTGACTGTTTCAGAGTGTCTGAGAACTGGAAATGCATATGATTCCTAATTCCAAAACCAAAAGCGCTAATAAAAACGTGTCCTATTAATATGTTAAATAAGCAATATGTTGTTTTCGTTGTCTTTAAGCCTACACCTTTTGTGCCAAATGGAAATGTAAAAAGGCCTATAGCACAGTAATGAGCCTGCTAAAACCGCCATTATGACGTTAAATGTAAGGGCGTTGGTGGGCCTGTTTATAGGTGAAGAAGGACATAAAGTGTCTGTCATGGATAGCATGTGACAGGAATTTGAAAAGACCTGAGTATTTTAAAACAAGTATTGTTTACTCATTCGTTATTCTGTTGACGCACGTGACGTTAACTTGAGGCAGAAAAAATCAAGACTATCGCTTACATTTGAAGATGAATTTTGTGGACCTCTTCGACAACGTCTGGGCTTACTATGCGGGGCGGAGGAACAGGGCTTAGCTGCATATCGCGAATTGTTTGAGCTTGATCAATGCGACTGAGGGAGTTGGAAAACCGGCTGGAGCTGTCTGTCTGCACAAAGTTGGATGGAGAGTAACCCAGCATTGTGACCGCCCTTGCCCGTCTCACGGAGCGATTACGGTCAAACACAACTGGTACAGAAATCGCACTACAGCTGTGAAGTGAGGAAAGATCCGCGGAGCTAGGATGACCGGAAGACCAGGCACTTCGTAATGAGCTGTTTTCATCCAAACCTATTAAAGGCGTCTGCAGCTGATTTGCCGTGCCGGGAAACAGCGATTTTGTTTCGTCTGAGTGCAGAACAGTTTCTCGTGAATTTGAATGTCGATTTATCAGGCTTGACGTCCTGACAACCAGCGGTTGTTGAAGATCCTGACGAATAGTGAACGACAGCTTGTCGTTCTGAGCAAGTTTGGAGAATGGGGTATCTTGCTTTGATTTCCAAAAGTTGCTGCTTGTAAGTGAAGAATTGTCCTCGTGGAACTGGGAATAAGATCCACGTGACAACGAGTCTTCTGTGGCTCCGTCAGGTTCCGTTTTCCCGCCAGTTCCCACGCAGTAGCTAAAAAGTCAAAAACCATGTTTAATCAAGCACAGTCTGCGTTAGAGCTCTATGGTTGTTCAAAATGAGGTTATATACTGTTTAAAGAAAAAGAAAACAGAATTGAACTGTCAAGCCGATGACAAAAGTGATGCGTGACAGGTGTTACATCAGGCAAGGGACGGTCTAAAAGAGATCGTTCTTGTCAAAAGATGATTAAAAAACCGTCGAAGTCGGTAAAGTAGAGCGAGTATGGTTAAGTTTTTGCGAAAACAGTTAATCCCAGTATTCGCGGAGACAAAGATGCGCAACCACCCGCAAGCAGCTGTAGTTCGCGAATGTCTGTGACTTACCAAAACGCTAATAACTGCATAGTTTAATGGTTACACATCAAATACACTCATAAATACCATTCTAATGCACTCAAATTAACCTTACAATAATTTCCTAGACGTATGTGACCTACGGGTGCGCTTGGACATGCTCACATGGACACACCTATGATTATTACTTATCAATATGGGAACTAATTGGGTTATACCTGTATTTAGGCCCACATCTTCTTTCGTGTAGTGTAAGAACCATACAGTATGTGGGAGTAACACTTTCACATTCACAAACACAGGGAACAGTTCAAATAAATGAAAATAACAAGCAAATATTTTAGAAAAGTTCCACGAACAAAAGAGATCTGCGAATACTAAACCGAGAGCAGGGAGGACCAGCAATACCTTCAAATCATTAAACTGACACTAAAGCGTATTCAGTTGTCAAACAAACTAATGAAATGTAGCACAGTAAAGACTCTCAAATGATGTTTAATGCCATATTGTATTAATGGCTCACAGTAGAGGTCCAAACATATTATGTTGGTCAGAATTAATCAATTACCTTAAATATACACAAAGACAGAGAAACTGCATGAAGTAGGTATAATGTACTGTGGTTTACATAGTTCTGTAATACAAAGTGTTCCGTTACTACAGACTATTCTGCCGGAAGGATTGCTGCATTCTTCATTATGCAAGAATTACCCTCTGGACGTTGACACCAGTAAAGAAATTTATTAAAACCATCTGAGAATTTTCAAATACTTATAATGTCAGGCTGCGAGAAAATTAGCAAAGGGTATAAGAC